ACTGCTTCACACAACTGCCCTGGAGGAATGCAGTGCCTGGCCTGCTGACCACCCCTACCCCAGATGTGGCCAGGTGCCCCCTGGCACAAAGGCCGAGCATAGAGGGACTGCACCAGCTCTACTCAGGGAGAAGCCCGTCTCAGGCAGCCCAGGCTGGTGCTGTCTCTGTTTTCATGCTTTGGTGACAGCAGTCCTGGGTGAGCACTTTGGGAGGGGCAAGAGTCCCAGAATGTCACCATCCTTACACATGTGTGAGGCAGGACCAGAAAGACAAAAATCACAGAAATGCGGGGAAGAATTTGATGGTAAGATGACTGTGTTTGTTAGCACGTATGTGTGTGTTTAACTGAATAAGCGTTCTTACTCTGTGCCAGGTGACAATCTGAGTGCTGAGCACATACATTAGTGTCTCTGATCCTCGTGTCTTCAGACATGTGCTTCCATTTTACAGATAGGAAACCAAGGTGCAGACAAGTGATTGGCTCAAAGGTTATGAAACACCTCCCTCTGTGTGTGTGTGTGTGTGTGTGTGTGTGTATGTGTGTGTGTGTGTGCGCGCGCGCACACGCGCGCACGCACATACGCACGCAAGCAGGCATGTGCGTGCACATGCACACTTGTGCCTAAGATAGACACACATACGCAGAGAGAGCTCTGTTGAAAGATAACTCTTTTCCTGAGGAAAAAACAATATGAGAAAAGGAGATTTTTCTTCTGGTAGACATCATGGCAACTCCAGCACGTAGGTATTTGCCTGAATTTTTAGATGAAGCCACTGAAGCTCAGTGAGTTACGTCACTTCCCATAACCCACCAGCTCAGTTGAGTGACCCCAAATCATGGCATTTCCTGTGTGCCACATGACTTCTACTGGGACTGTGGTTTAGACCTCAGTGTCAGTTCATCTCTTGGGTAGCTGGGAAGGGGTCTGTCAGGGCACCCTACTTCTGCCTGGGCACCTTGAGGATGTAGTTTGTGGTTAGAACGTGTGCAGGCTCTGCCATTCTCTGGCTCTGTGGCCTGACACCCACCTCTCCATGTTGAGTTCTCCAATCTACGACAAGGGATGGAAGTCAAGTTCATGACAGGAAGGTGGCAGGGTTCCAGGGAGACAGTATCCAATATAAATCTTGAGCAAAATTCTGTCATTGTTACCAAGCCAGTCTGTTCATCACTAAACATGCCTGTTGGAAACCCCCCTTCCCTGGCCTCTGTTCCATGCACGCATTGCTCCAGTTCACTGGCTGTATACAGTCTTTCCTGTGTTTTCCTCATGACAAGGTTTTAATATTTGCTATTGAGCTTGTGACATTCAGTTAACACATCATTAAACTAATATTAAAACAGCAGGTGGTGAGGTTTCAGGAATAGCTGGGTTGCTAAAGTGCTTGCTATGCAAGCATGAGGACCTGAGTTCACATGTAAAAGAGCAGGCATGGGGGTGCATGTCTGAAGTCCTAGCACTAGAGAGACAAACAAGAGGATCCCTGGGTCTTGCTGCCAGAAGCTTAGCTGAATCAGTGAGTTCCAGATTCAATGAGAGACTCTGCTTCAAAAATTCTGTGGCAGTCGGGTGCTGGTGGCCTTTAATCACAGCACTATGGAGACAGAGGCAGGCAGATTTCTGAGTTCAAGGCCAACCTGGTCTACAAAGTAAGTTCCAGTACAGGGTTGCACAGAGAAAACCTGTCTCCAAAAACCAACCAACCAACCAAAAAAAAAAAAAAAAAAAAAAAAAAAAAACCCAAAATGCAAGTTGCAAACAATCGAGGAAGACACCAAACCACTGTAAAATTCTGACTTCTGCACATGCATACATGTACAAACACATTTACACACATACACACACACAGTACTGGACACCACACACCTCCTCAGTCCCCAGACTCTCTTGTATGTGTGTGTGGGGGGCTGGATACTTTAATGTCTCCATTCATGCTGCTGCATTATCTTCCCAGAAGGCTGTCTTTATGGACCCCAGTTGCAGTGTGGCAGTGGCTGCACTGTTATCTTAGGGACTCCAGGGATATTTTCTTCCTGTACAACATGATCACTAGGGTTCCTTTCCCCTTATTTAAGTGTGAAATTCAGAAACACTGAATCGAATCAACACTGCTCCATGGGGTGACTCTGTTTGTTAATGTTTGTTAATGTTTGGGCATCTTAGCTGCATTTAGTACCAGGCTATGACTCAGACCCAGCTAGGAACACTTCTGAAGCATCTTCTGGAAGAATCCTACAATCATCAGTTAAAGGGAAACGTTGTCAGGTTGGAGAAGCAGGCAGTTACCTTTCTGAGAGAGGTACCACAGACCACATGGGTACACACGGGCAGAGGGAGGAGACCTGCTTTCTGTTTTGTTGGAATCTATTAAAGATATCTCCTTTAGAAAATCAGAATTGGAAGCATGTAACCTTTAACATGAATGCAAGCCTCAAGGACTGCATCTTCCATTAACTGTATTTTGGTTACTAAGATGGCATTGGATTAAAATGGACTATGGATTCCTTAAGTAATTATGAAAAGTAGACATGGGACAGATTTCCTTTCATCAGGAAGAATGCCTGCCTCACACCAGTTCCTCATCCCAATTAAATCCCAGTACCAAGCTTAGCCATTTACCAGCACTTTATTCATAGCTTTAGTTATGTTGTTTGAACGTTTATTTCCCCAGACATTGTGTTAGGCTTGTTGCATACATTATTCTTAATTTTTAAAACTGAGTTTATAACTGAGTTTTGAACACTTCATAGATGGTACTGTGACCAGTGGCCCAGTCATTCTGGTGGCAGACACTTGTTTGAGCATCTACTTGGAACTGTTGGACTGAGAGTCAGCTTAGTCTTCCTCTTAGCCCTTCTTAGCTCATTGTTACTGAAACGTATTCATAGGGAGGAGCTGGAGAGCAGAGACAGAGACAGAGACAGAGAGAGAGAGAGAGAGAGAGAGAGAGAGAGAGAGATCCTGAGGGGATAATGGGATGGACATGCATTGGTCAGCTGGACACTTTGGCAAAGCCATCTCATTGTCTTTGCCTTGTGTCCCTTATCTGTCTAAAGACAGGAATGGAGCTTCAACATTACCTCCCCCACTTTGACTTGCCAGCCAGGGAGCTTTTACTGCCAATCACACTCGGCAATTTTGTTTTCCTAAAATAAACTTCAATGGCTATTATTGTTTTTGCTATCTATATCAGGTGTGCCTTTCAGTTGCCACATCCCTCCTACTCTGAGCTGGAATTGACTGACCCAGAGAAGCAATGGACCTTTCGAGGTTTGCAGATGACGGTCAAGATCAATTCCACTCAGATGTTTCCTTTACTCACAGGCATTGAGGTTGTTGGCTTCAAAATGCTGAAACTAATGTTACACGGAGCATTAGTTGTTTCCAGAACCCTAGACATTCATTATCTACTAGATTAATCCAAGATAAAGCAACTTCTTCACATAGGTTTTCTCAGTATGTGCGCAATGGGCACTAGCATTTTCAATAAAGGAGAAGGAAGCTCTGCTTTTCCTGATGTGTTTCCTCTGGAGTCCTTCCTCCTGAGAACTGGTTAAGGGATGACTACTCTGGAGAGCCTGATTTAGAATGTTGCGATGTGCAGGTTCACCCTGTCTGCAATAGACAGCCCTGACCTCCAGCTTGAGACACAATAGAACCTGGGGGTTTCAGCCGCTATTTCAGAAAGGTATATCATACCTTATCAGAGCAGGTTATGATGAACCTGTCAGGGCATCACTGTGCCTACTATCTCAAAGTCACAAACCCAGGAACTGCCCAAGTGAGGGATTTTTTCTGTATTCTTCCCAATGTATGCATCAAGACCACCACAGTCCTCAAAATGTTGTGATACAATAGAGAGGCTGATTTAATATTGTTATTAGTATTATTAGATTTCAAAGGTTCTGAGTAGGATGGCTCAAGCGTGTGCGTGTGTGTGTGTGTGTGTGTGTGTGTGTGTGTGTGTGTGTGTTTTGGCCTATGGGAGAACTGTCACATGACTTCCTATAGTGATAACCCTAGGAAAAGTGCAGCAGCAGTCTCAATGGCCATTACTTCTGTCCTCAGAGGGGCCAGGTGCACACTTTATCCCCAACTCTCCTGCTGAAGTATATCTTCATAGACCGCTGTGTCCCCTCTGCCCCCAGAAAGGACTGAGCTAAGAAGAGTGACCACAGCAGAAGGCATGCAGAGAAAAATAAGCATTGTCAGCAAAGCCATTCCAAGGGTTTGTCTTGATAGGGACTTGATCAGAACAAGGTGCTGACAGCCCAGAGCGTGTGAAGAAACTTTTTGACAGTGTGATTGATTTGAAATCAAGGATGTTTAACTTGGGATTCCAGAGATGTCTGGTTTATTAGAAACAATATGTTAACAATGATGAATAGAAAAAGAACATCATTCCCTTCTGTCGCCCAACATTCTCTCTCTTTGAATTAGTATTTGTTCCTGGAAAACCTTGGCTCTGTGTGATGAAGCTTAATGGGAGACTCTCAATGCCCCTGAATACATGGAGTCTGACAATCAGGGTTTCTGAGTCCACACTGGTGGGGGGGAGGCTCTTTGTGGAAGCAAAGGTGAGAGTCAGGGGTACTGCTACAGGCAAATTGTTGTTTTTCGATTGAGCCCTGTACCAAGCACTGTGGTTGGTGCCAGCGTATCCCCCCCCCCCCACCTCCCATCAGGCTTTTCCTTCTACACAGATAGCCTACCAACTTCCATGTGACTAAGAGACACGAGTCCCTTAACTGGTGCAAGCTGCTCTCATGCAGCTTAGCCTTTGATTTGAGCACTCAGTTGTGAGTACTGCTGAGAGGTGAAAACAGGCCAGGGAGCCCAGGACTGGCCCTCCCTCCCTCCCTCCCTCCCTCCCTCCCTCCCTCCCTCCCTCCCTCCCTCCCTCCCAGATGGGCTTTCTTGGAGTAATGTGACAGCTTTCTTGCTTGTTATAGGTTTTTCTGTCATTAACAAAACTTCTTGTATCTGTTGACTTCCAGAAATGGCTTCAGACATACCCGGGTCTGTGACCTTGCCTGTTGCCCCCATGGCGGCCACTGGACAGGTGAGGATGGCAGGGGCCATGCCTGCCCGAGGAGGAAAGCGCCGATCCGGGTAAGCAGAGCCAGCGTTTCCAGAAACTAGCCTTAGTAAAAGTTGAGCAATGCTTTTGACCTGTTAGAAAAGTATTGTTTTTTTTCCCCTCCTGGGGAGTAAAAGCTCAGCAGTTTGTATCCTGTTTAGATTGTGTAAGAGTCCTAAAAATGCACATGATTTGCCTAAGTTTCTGAGTCCTGGCACCCAGCTGGGGATTTCTGTTTGCTTGTCCTTGTGGGGAGGGTGTGCTGAGGGGTCCTGCTGGGCCTTGCTTATGCTAGCTTTCTGAAGGGAGTTCATTTTCAACTGTCTGAACATTCCGGCCTCATTCCTGGGGCAGGCCCAGCCCCAGGAACTGTGAAAGATCTAACTGGAGTCCTCCAACCTTCCCTCCAGTGCTCATCTTTCCTAGGAATATGCAGGAATTCTTTTGGCCGGGATCCAGCACCTGAATGTCGGCCAGATAGTTGTGTTGAATATTGCTCAAACAATAAAGGGGACAAGCATTAAGCTCTGTTGACTCTACTGGTCCTGATAGGTCACAGACCACTTTTGAGCAGATGAAAGCAAAACTGGCACCACTTGTGTTGAATGATGTTAGCATTCATACCCAGAACCCAAATCAAACCAAGGAAAACAGCTGGTATTTTCCAGAGGAGTATGTTACTGAATCCCGCTCCCCAACGATCCTTTTTTATTTTCAGTTTAACAGTTAATAAATGAGCTGTCTCATGATGTTGTTCAGCTTCTGATCACACATTCTGCCCATGATTGCAGCTATCCATCCCGTGAGGACAGAACACACCTTCCATAGCTCCAAGACTGCAGGCTGCACCCATGTTGGAATGGTCCAGGGATTTAATTCCAAGAGCCTCTTCCAACCCCTGTGATGCTTAAAAAGGCACAGAGGCAAGGGGACAGGTGCATACCAGGGTCTGGATAGAGAGTGGGGACAGGATGAAGCAGTATAGTATTATAGTGCCAGCTAATGATGAGGACTGCTGTGTGTACTGGGGTCTTTGGGAAAGGGCCTGAGAGATGCATAGTCATTGAGGGGGGTGAGAGTCTGACTGTGGTGGCAAGGCCAGCCTTGACCCTGCACACTCTCTGAGGGAGTCAGTGTTCTGTCTGCTGCTGTTTGGTTTCCTCAGCGGCTGCCACAAATAACTACCTGGTAAAGGCTGCTGCTTGCCTCTGGGATTTCATGAACAGATGCCTGCTATCTGAGCCATTGTTCTTGCTAACTGTAGACTGAGTTCTGCTGTTTCGCTTGATAAAAAGAATGTGTATAGTGTAAAAATATCAATTTTTCAATTTAAAAATCCAGATTATTTAAAATGTTACTATCTTAACTCACATTCTTTAGAGAGAAACTCCATTGCTCCTCCTTGCCCTTTTCCAGAAGAGACCACACTAGGCTCTGCAATGAGCACTCTAGGTTGATGCAAGTTTAGGCAAAAATGCTTTCTCCAACCCCTGTGCTGGGGGGCATCTGTGAGCCTCGGTCTCCTTGTGGTTTGGCCTGGTGAGCGCCCAGCAGCTTTCCACATCGGCCTGCAGGGTCCTAACCCAATCCTGGAGTTCAAATCCTGCTGCCTACATTGCACTTAAGATGATCTCATGTAGGACTTAGTAGCTGTCCTCTGTGCTGTGCTGTTGCACACACTGCTGTAGTGTCTTCTCTACTGCTTTGACACACCATGACCAAGGCAACTTGTAGAAGGAGGGGTTTATCTGAGGCCTAAGAGTCCATCAGCACCACAGTGGGAAAGCATGGCAGCAGCAGGCACTCAACTCCAGCAGCTGAATGCTCACATCAGAAACCACAGACAAGAAGCAGAGAGCGAACAGGGAATGGCATGTGGCCATTGAAACCTCAGGGACACATGGCCACACCTCCAAAGCCTCCCCGAAATGGGTCACCAACTGGGGCTAAGTATTCAAACCTGTGAGACTGTGGGAGACGTTGACATCTCATTCAAACCAACACACACACACACACACACACACACACACACCATAGTACCAGAAGCTAGTGTGAGCCCTGGGTAGGCTGACACTTGGGCTTGGGTTCCATTCCATGTACACCTACTAAGAAAGAAAGCAGAGCTGAAGGTAGGCAAGCAGTGGCCACCAACATCTTGCCATGAGGCTGGGGCTCTCTGAGAGCAGACCAATGACCTTCACCAGAAAGCCTGTTCCCCTGTCATCTTTCTTGGGGTCTGTATGCCCTTTTCTCCTGTCAGATTGTGGGGGAAAAGACACCATGATTTAGAGATTCATTCTGGGTCTAAGAAGGGGAACCTCCATTTTTAAAGACACGTTTCCATAGTAATTCTTGCATCTGGCATGTTTTACATCGTTCTACCCCTGGTACCGATCCCTTCCGTTGTGAGACTCTGACGGAGGCTATGTGCTTCTAAAGGCAGACAGCTCCTTCAGGGCCTTGTGCTGTGGCTGGCATTGACTGCTGTTTGTTGTCACTGTCACCAGCATGGTGTCTCCAACTGCGCCTTCTGTTAAGACTGTAGGACACCCTCGAAGAGACTCAAAGAGAGGGATATGGAAGAGAATGGGGTGTCAGGAAAGGGGGAAAAACAGCATTAGTGTGGCCTACCCCATTCCTTCCCAAGTGTTCGCTGATGTCATTCTCACGGAGGCAAGTGTGCCAAGTGCTTGGGACAACCATCAGCCATCCTTTCCTCTCTAGAGCTTCACTACCTCTTAGAGCTGATCCTTGAGGACTTTGAATCCTCCTGGGCCTGTGCCTGGCCTAGTGTTGTGAGTCCTTCCTGGCTGGGCTTTCTTCCCGCTTACTGAGAAGGCTTGGCAGTGAGAGGCTCAGCAGGGCACTTTTGTCCTCTTGGCAGCTAAGACACAAGGTGAAGGTTCAGAAGTTTCAGATTCTTTCCAAAGTAGCTCCACATGTGTGGGAGAAATGAGCTGAAGCAAGTCACCTGACATACATTCTTGTTGTGACCTCCCGAAGCTCAGTAAGGGGTGGAGGAGGCTCCAAACTGGCTACTTTTAACCTCAGTGAGGAAGCAGCAGTGATGAGTTAAGCTATAAGCTGAGCTAGCCCAAAGGAGCCATTGGGATGGAGGGTGGAGGCTGCAGACAGGGATGCACAGGGATGCCTTGCTCCTGCCACTGCCTTGCTTCCTAGGGCTGAGTTTCTAAACACCATTATTGAGGGAAAATTCCCAGCACTTGGTACTTTAAGGCAGGAGGCTAGAGAGTTCAAGACCAGCCTGCCAGCCTGAGTTACATAGTGAGCCCCCATTTAAAAATTAAAGGAAATAAAGAGTGGAGAGGGGGTGGAGGGAAAGAGAGAGGAAGAGAGAGGGAGGGAGGGAGGGAGTGAGGGAGGGAGGGAGAGAAGGAGGGATGGATGGATGGATTGTAAGTGGATGTTCCTCAAGTTTAAATGTGTAGTTTGACTGTAATAACAACCCTCAGATCCGGGCTCTGAAGGGAGAACATTTTCAGACACATTGTCACTCTGCTCTGTTCTGGGGACTGGTGGCCAGGTCCAGGATTGCTCCTGCCTGCACAGCCACTGTTTAACCAGCTGTACTGGAATGACCTTTGTTTGCCGTAGGAAAAGAGAATGCTGTGTGAAAACGCATATTTAATGCTGCACTGCTATCCGTATAAAAGCACTGCTAGGGAGAATCTCATCGCTTCCTTTTCACATAGGCTATGCTGAGAAATGCCTATCAAAGCTAGTGGCTCACTGGCAGGAAAGTGTGTTTTCAGCTCACCTTTTGATGACTTAATCGCCCATTCTCAAATCACTCTAGAAATTGCTGTGTTGTCTTAGAGTGAATACAATAGGACTTAAAGTCATATTTCGACTTCTTCTATTCTCAAGATGTTTCAGTATAATAGAAAAACATAAAAGACTTAAAGGATGATTTATTTACTTACACTTTTTATAGGAGAATAGGCACAACTAATTGTAGTCATATTTAAAGTTGGACATGGTGGCAGAGTCACAAAGGCGCACCTGGGGCAAGGTTGTTTTGAGGTCTTTTGTTTAGTCAGGGGCAGTGTGTGTGTGTGTGTGTGTGTGTGTGTGTGTGTGTGTGTGTGTGCGCACGCGCGCACACTCGTGCATGCATGCACACACATGTGCACACATGCCCGATAGTAAGACTGTGTGGAATAATCCAGAAGATCTCAGGAGTCATGTGGGGGCCTGGATTTTCTAATAGGCTGGGCCCACTTCATGCTTTTCCAAATTACTAAACATAATTGCTGCCAAGTGTGAGTTCATGTATGCACAAGTGGCAGGTGCAGTTTCTCTCTATGTTGCATGTATATGATTGCATACACACTCACAGGTGGCAGGTGCAGTTTCTCTCCATGCTGCATGTGTGTGATTGCACATGTGCACAGATGGGAGCCATAATTTCTTGGGCTTTAATTTTTTATATACACATCATGACTCCAAGTTCCCATGGACTCCAGTAAACTCTGGGTCCAGACAAGGCCATTCTTTCCTTCTACCTTCTGGATGGCCTGATTGGCAGTTCACCTGGCCAAGCTGTGATCCTTAATGACAGAACTCACATCCCCATTTATCTGTTCCATAGGAGATTGGATAAAGAAAGCTGTGTTTTGTAGGAGTTTGGTGATCACAGTCCTTTCAAGGCTTGGTGGTACAGGCACTTGCTGCCAAATCTGGTGACCTAAGTTTGATAACTGGATCCATATGGTAGAAGAAGATAGAGTCCTCTACCTCCACAGGCAAGCACAAGAGTGCAAAAGCACACACACACACACACACACACACACACACACACACACAATTTAATATCAAATTGCACTGAATGGAATTTTAAAGATAACTGTGCATCTCATACCCATTTGAGGTTTTGATAAATACTTGCCCAAATTCTTTGGAATTTATGGTGTGTGTGTGTTTTGTTTTGTTTTTGTTTTTGTTTTTTTTAAATGTAAGTAGAAAGGTTGATATTTCACTTTCACTTTATAAGCACTAGGTGGCAGCGTGGTTCTGCAAAATGCAACTGGCCTCAGTAAATTTTTTTTTTTTTTTTTTTTTCCTTTTATGGTTATTTCTCACATGTAATTTCCAGGAAGGTGAGATGATAGCTTAGTAATTATACAGGATACTAATGAGTTTTCTTCATTCAGCCACATCAGCACCATTTGTCCTGTAAACAGTTCTGCAGTCCAGTGTCGGACTTCCATAATGATACTGTGAGGACCGTGCATGTCTGTTTCCCTGGTGGCCGGCATGTGGTCCTTACCTGTCTTATCTCTTCTTCTCAACCACCTCCTTTTCTCTTTGTACACAACTGCCATTTCCCCCATCCCTGATTCTTAGTATTAGGACAGTTGGCTTTTGAGAGTCAGGATCCAATTCTGGGCAAAACTATGTCAGGTCAGACTGCACTGTACACAATCCAGGACAAAGATATGCAAACAAATGCCTGTCCTCCCTCCCTCCATCCCTTCATTTTGCCATATCTGAGCCTAGTTCCTTGGTCCCCCAGGTTATTATAAAGCCTAGAGGTCACCATACATCTCGCTGGGGTCCATCTTGGGGCATGTATACAAGGATAGCTCTTCATTGTATTGTGACTGCTTCCTGGTGACCTAGGTGCCCTGTGCCTTTCCTGGTTCACCCTCCCTGTGAGGGTCTAGAAGCTCTGGCCTGTATAGCTGTGGTCTTCTAGAAAACACTCCATTGTTTATTGGGGGAGGAGCAGAATCTCACTGTGTATCCCAGCACAGTCTGTTCTCATAGTAAGCTGCTAAAGCATGGGATTCTTCAGCTACAGCTGCCAGGCAACTAGCCTCCCTTCTGCTTGGATCCTTCGGGCACTAAGAACAGGCAGGGCAGTTCAGGACCTGAGATGGCCCACTCGAGAGCCACACTGATGTAGGTATCTCGTTTTCTTCCTCAGAAACCCTGAGTATGCTCGATCACAATTAAGTTCCCTCTGACCTGACCTCTTACAGCCTAGTATTTGCTGACAGTAGAGGAATGTGTCGTTTTGAGAAGGAACATTTGGAATGTTAGTTAAGCAAGAATTCAGCAAGACCTTGTTTGATGTTTCCAAGAGGAGGCCCAGTAGAGCTCTGAAGAATAATTCTGTGAGCAGACAGCTGCTTGCTTGAGTGATTTTGATATCAAATGGCCATTTCCTCCTCAGCAACTTCATGTTTGGTCCTGGGTGTAACAGAACGGTGATCTGAAATGACCTTCGCCCTGAGCTTCATAGAGACTCACCAAGTCACAAGCAGTATTCCCAGACAAGTTCACTGTTCCTTAGTATTCCTTCATCACCCTTTGCACTTCCTATATTCCAAATCCCTTGAGCAATATACCATAAATTTTTGGAGATGAAGTGTTGATGTGGAATACACATTATGGAGGGGCCCATACAACCCAGTGACATTGGGAGACAAGAAACATTGATGTTTTTTCCCCAAAATGGACTGAGCCATGCTTTGGTGATCTGAGACGTGTTCTAGGGAGACAAGTTGACACTGAATATTTTCACTTTTGACCAGAAAGCTAACAGTGTACAGACTGTGTTTTGTGATATTTTTCGCTCCTGAGACTGTAGGGATGCTGTCTCAGCACTGCTAAAGTTTGGAAGCATTACATAGCAACGTGATGGGGGGAGGTCCCCTTGCTCCCACAGCTCATGCCATTAATTACAGTCTTCTGAAAGTTATAACCAGGGCTCACTTGTGGCTTTGACCTTTCAGAATGGACTTCGATGATGAAGATGGTGAAGGTCCCAGCAAATTTTCAAGGTGAGTTTATTTTACCTTTCTTAAGCCAGCAATCACATGACTGGCATGCACAGGCACTCAGTGCTTCTTGTCATTGAGTAAGCCATTGCCCATTCTTTGACCATCTTGTGTATGCCTTATCTAGTGCTAGTATTTGGCCTTGTGACAATTAGTAATCCTGATATATCCCAAGCCTGGTCCAGTGGTACATGCTTAAAATATCAGCAGGTGGGAGTGTGGGGCAGGAAAATGGCAAATTCAAGGAAAATCTGAGCTGTATACCAAAACCCTGTAGCAATAGGGGGAGGGGTAAGTAACTAGTCCTTAATCCTGTTTGCTTTTAAGTTAAACAGTGTCCACTAACTTTAATGGACTCCCTTTTAAAATAATAAACAAAAAAAAAACCCTAGGGCTCAAGTTTAGAGAAAATTATCAATATGAATCTTTTTTTTTTTTCCTTCTGAAGAAAATTAGGAGAAATACAAGAAAAGTATAGCCTGTTTGGGGTTAATTTCAAGGTCCTCACAATGAAGCTACTGACTGTGTGACAGTATCTTTAGCTGGCTCTGTGGGGCTGGCCGAGGTGTAGCCTACTTTGAAGGAAGCTGTCAGATCATCAGTACTGGTGGTATAAGGTAGTCATGATTTCTGATTCAGGTTTTTTTTTTTTTGAGGCGTTGTGGGACTGTACTGAAGGAAGGTGTCATTCTCTCATCCTTACCATACTTCCATCTTCTTCTAGCAGGGCTTGTCTTGATGCCCCCATCACTCAGACCTCCTTGTTGGTTATTGCTCATCTTAGAAACATGTGGCAGGTGATAGGTGCCTGTCTACTGTATTTGTATTCCACATTCAGACTGATAGCCTTGGTTGCAGCAGCTTTGAGAAGTGTGATGTCCACACATCCCCCTGGGCTGGCTGTCTACTTTCCTCCATGCAGGTCATTTAGGTTCTTTTAACCCATAACCAAAATGCTAGCTGTGAATTAAGCAGTGCTCTCTACAAATGCAGGAGGGATCCATGCCTTGTTCCTGTCTAGGGATTCCCACAGTAAATATCTCCTCACCTCATAAACTTTTACCTTTGACACTGGGCTCATCCATCCATCTCAACTGAAGCATGAGAAATAAGAACACATTTTTAACCCATTAATGACCTTGAGGCTTCCTACCAAAACAAGATGTGAACTTCACCAGCAAAACATGCATTATCTCATTCTATGTGGACCAGACCCATTTTAGGTGTCCTGGCTTCTAAAGATTGGTCTTAATAGCAAGTAGTGCTCTCTTCCTGGAAAGGAGCTAACTCAGAAATACCACCCCCCCCCATCCTCCATCTGCCCACCCCGTCTCTGCCAGAGCTTGCCCTTGCCACACACAACCTTTCTGTAGATGGAAACAATGACATTGTCAAAGTGTCCTTCAAGACTATATACCATAGCATGTTAACCTCGGGAGATAGTGTCACTGGGTCTCAGAACAAAAAGAAGAGAAACATGGAGTGACATTTGCTTGACATTGCATATCAGTGTCAGTGATTAAACAACAGCAGAGGTACACAGAGCTCATTGGGCCGGAGTGTGAGGAGGCAATGGCCCCATGCTGTGTAACACTCTGAACCTGCCAGTGAGTCATGTTACACAGTCAAGTTCAGGCCTTGGCTTCTCTCAACCACATCCTCTCTTCTGTGCCTTAAAAACAAGAGGGAAATGGAATGTACTTCCAACATGTGCTGTTACTTACAGGGCTGGGTTCATGGCACCCCAGAGGCCACTGACTTCAATAGGCTATTTGAAATAATCCATGGCTGATGGACCTGTGGGTACATCTGGGTTGCTCAGAATTGGGGAGACAGGCAAGTCCACTCCCTGCATTCCCCTTAGCCATCCAGCGGAAGCTTAGATGTCTGCTGCCAGCCTTGAGAAGGTGCACTCTCCCATTTTCTACCCCCGTGCTTGCAGTCAGCCCATCCTAACAATCCCAGCCGTCAGGGCCCTGAGAAGTGTGGGGACTGTGATGCAAGCCAGTCTGCATTCTTATTAGTTGATTCCTAATCTGGGCAGATGCAGCACCATGATCTCTGTCCCCTAATGTGACTCTAGTGAGAATTCCCAGCTTTTTCTCAAGTAATGGAAATACAGAACTTGGCTTCCTTGCCCAGTGTAGCCTACAGAAGTAGACTTCACTTGCTGGCACTGGGCTTTGACTTCTGTTCCCTCTTTAATTCCATTATCAACTCCCAGGTCCTAACAGCAGACAGGGATGAACTCTGTGACTCTAGAAGACTCTGATCACAAAAAAGAAAAAAAAAAAAAACTCACAAACCTCCCTAAAGGACACCAGGGCCCAATGTCTTCAATCCTTCAAAGAGTCAACACCCTGATATCCCAGCCAGTCTACAAGCCTGTGTTCAAAGTGATGTTCAGGCCTTCTTACAACACTGGGCAACACAGAATGGCATCTGTCTTTAATGTCCCAGGATGTCCCTGTGCTGCAGCTGGCATCAGCTGCCCCAGTGGGAAGAGGCATCTCGGGTATTATTTCTGTGTGTGGACAGCTGGCATCCCCACACTTTCATCAAAAGTCAGAGTTACACACCACACTCTGTGTGCCTTCTACTTGCAGGACCAGATCTTCTCGGATGCCTCCCCCTGTGTCAGGTGAGGCAGGGAGAAGCACATGACAGCAAGGCTCCTCTCCGTCAGTCCTGCCTTCAGTTCCTCATGTACTCACTGACACTTCTGTTTAGGGAGCCCTTAATCTTTAGGTCACATGTGAATGACACAGTGACTGGGCCAGCATCTCCCGGTGGTCAGTGGGAGACTTTGTGAAGTGCTGCCCTTTCTGTATGTTAATCAGGACTCCTGATGCCCCACTACTCTGAGTAAACACAGGAGGCCCCTTTGCAGCAGAGCTGGAAAAGAAAGCAAGTCAAACATCTAGCTGCACCTCCTTCTTTGTCCTTGATTTCCCCACTTGTCTCCTGAGGCAAAGTTTCAGGTTGTCTTGGCCCAACAGAGGTGTCACCCCCTCTTGATTGTCCTTGCCCTGGACCCTTCTCCTACATATATAGAGGCAGATTTCTTTACTACAGCTGTCTGGCTCCTAGCAATCATGGGTGATCTTAGACACCACAACCCCAGGTCCAACAGATCGATCCCATTGTCCCCTTCCCTTGGGGATAAGATAAACTTGGGCCTTGGGATGTGCCATTCTCTTCTCACAGGATGGCATTCCCTCACCTCTGTATCCTTGAGGGCTTCGAAAAGAAATCATACACATCAATGCATACCAACTTGTTTTTCAGATCTTGTTGCTGGGCAACTGGCAGTTCTCAGTTCTTTTTAACATACTGCTAGAAGCTCAGGCTTATCTCATAAAATCTAAGATTATTGTATCATTTCCTGCACCGGTCAATGAATGCGATTTTTAGCTTCCTTTAATTGTCCTCTTCCTTCACCTCAGCCCACAAATTGAATATATCTATGGATGCATCAGGGAACCTCACAAAGACCACTCCCAATGTTGATAGAGAAAATCAGTCCTTGGTTACAAGGTACCATTGGTTGCCACAGACGCTGCCTGAAAGCTTTAGAGTTAACTATAGGTTTGGGGGTCACCACTGAAGGACTTTAAGTGTCAGATTTACATTTAGAGAATTGTCAGTCTGGCTACAATAAAAGGCCTGAGATGGAGGGGAAGGAAAGGTGAGAGGAGGCTTAGCCACATGGGGCAGGTGGTGTCAGCCACAGTGGGCAGTGAGCATGGGCATGGGCATAGGGAAGGGAGAAGAGTCAAGAGGGTTTTGTAAGTGTTTTGGCACGGACAGCAGTTTGTGGTGAAGAAGACATCGTTCAGCATGGCCCAGAGATAAGGCAGAGGAGACATTGTGTTCTGATGATTCAGAGGGGTTCTGAATGACAGGATGTGTATTGGAGTAGAGGCAGGATTCAGGGAGAAGTGTGTGGGGCTGGTGGGATATCCCAGCCATCAGACTAAGAGACTCCAGGTTGATTCTATCCCAGGTGGGATCTCCTTGTGGGTTGCTCTGTACAGAGAGGAAAGCCTGTCTCACATGATCCCCACAGGAACTTGCAGGCAGGTGCTGTGGCAGGAGCTCTGTCCTGCCTGAATCATCTTCTCCTGGAAGTGCCTGAACTTCCTGTCTGACTTCCCTTTATGTCATTAGCCCTTGCACTCTCTTAGTACCACCTTCTGGGTAGCTCAGAAAGTGTGAGTCTGCGGGAGGAGTATGCACCTCTGGGAGCTCACCCTGCCCAGGGTCTCGTGGACAAATGTCCAGCTGAAGCATGTGGTCTGCACCCCATGCCCTGCTCTGCGGTTGTGGAAGGGGAGGAAAGGGACTCTGGTCTAGCCTGTGCTCGAGAGCTAGAAGCCCTCTGACAAAGTTTCTGCCTGCATCGCTTTCTCTGGCTTATAGGCAGCCCACTTCAACCTCTTCTTATCTGGCTGAGCCTTTCTTCCACTACGTAGCAAACTCTGCCCATTTCTGCCTGGAGATGTAGACTTTGCGGACACCAGAGGGTCTGCCATGTACTTGAGCATTGGTGCTTCCCCGGCCAGTTTAGATCTTTACAGTTAATGTCTGTGGGGTGGAGTTGGCCTCAGAAACTACTGACTGGTCTTAACCTGTCTTCCTCCTCTCTCCCATAAGGCTCATCCACCTGTGAACCTCTTTAAAACTTCAGCTACAACTGACACTGTGCCACAGTTTCCATCAGATTCCTCACTGTGGTCTGGCCTGCTCCCCAGCCTTAGAGTTCCTCAGCTTCCTCTTGCAGCAGGCCTGCCCTTCCTACGGGGATGACTCTTCCTCTGTCAATGGTCCTCCTGATCCTAAGCCTTCCTTTGACCTTCCAGACGGACCCTCCTCCTTCTATTGCCACATATGTCTAACTCTGTCTGCCATCCCCAACCTCTTGTAGTCTTTTTCTCTCCTTCCAAGGCTTTTCAGAGCATGTGATCAGATTCCACCTGTATGTTCTGCTGTGCACAGTGCACCTCCACAGTAATGTGCTTGCTGCTTGAAGACCTTGTTGGGTTTCCTTGTTTTCTCTGTTATCCTTTCCCCACTGGGGGCAGGCTCCAGACTCCTTGAATGGAAGTTATGCCCCAGAAGGCTCCCAGCAGGTCACTAAGGCACCGCTGCTGTGTGCACACACCATGCACATCTCAGCCTGCACAGCATCATGCCATCGGGCCCGATTGCCATGCTGTCTCACTTCCTGGAAGGATGGGGTGCGAAGCCAATGAATATATGCAGTGTGTGGAGCAGCCTTGCCTGGGGAATCTTCTTTTCTTACTGTTAGTGTCACTTTTCCTTCCCAGAGAAACCACAAAGTCCTCCGTCCTGTAGCAACAGACATGGGCATATTTTTAGACGCAGCTATATCCCAGGGAACAGCTTTTTCTTAAGTGTGTTGAATGGGGCTGGGTGTTACTCTCTTTTGAGCCTAAAGGTAATAAATCATTCGAGACAGAAATATTCTCCCAGCCCTTCTATTAGATTTTCATTTTAAGCATTCCAAGGATGGAGTTAGGTAACTCCTTGCAGTATTTTTTTAATTGGTTATTGGTTAATAAAAGGTCACACCTGTTCTGTTACTATGCTGAGATACATTGGATATAGAACAAAGGCACATTCACAGCTTTATGTAAAGTGAATCTGCATCACTAGTGGTCTCTCCTTAGTGACACAAAGTGTAGTAAGGCTTGTGATAGTGTTAGATACTGCAAGCGCATTGTCAGCTGAGGGTATTGTTAAGGAGAAAGGCATTTGATACAACCCCTGCCAAACACTTCAGCCTGGCCCAGACTGCTTTCAGCTAGATTAGAACACTGACGTCAGCCTGTGGCCAGCTAAGCATTCAATACATCCCTGCTTTATAGTGGGATGCTGAGGTCTCATGCTGCATTGGAAGTGTAAGTAGCATGGCTGTGTGGGTATTTGTCATTATAGAGTGTTTTATGTATTTTGAGGTACAGTGCTTACTGAATGAGTTATCACCATCAAAAAAATTGAAGGAGCTTAAGTTGGAGGCTATCTTATAGAGCTTCATACAATGAAGTACATAAATCACATATGTAAGCAGGCATGAGCTACGTTTGTAGGTGTGGGTCACACATTGAATTTTAAGATCATGCTTATGCACAGAAAGCCTGCTAGGATGCATTGGTCTTCCATGGTCCCTGGTCTTAATTTTGCATGATGTCTAGGAAAAATCAGAGATATGTGGGTACTTTAAGAAGTGCCGATACATATTTAAAGAAGGAGGTGGCAGAAGCCCCTGATCCCCACACATAGACAAGAGCTTACAGATGTGTCAGGGCTGGGGCTTCAACATACAAGTCCTGAAGCGCTCAGCCATTGCGAAGCAGGCTTAGGAGTGTGGCCATCTGATGTCAACAGTGAGTTATTTTAACCCAATATCTGCTGACCCTGGTCTGATCCTTCTCTTTTTCCCTCCCCCTATCCTCTTGCTTTCTGGGAAGAGAGAACCACAGTGAGATTGAGCGGCGCAGGCGAAACAAGATGACTCAATATATTACGGAGCTCTCCGACATGGTTCCCACCTGCAGTGCACTGGCCCGGAAGCCAGACAAGCTCACCATACTGCGCATGGCAGTTTCACACATGAAGTCCATGAGAGGCACCGGGAACAAATCTACTGATGGTGCATACAAGCCTTCCTTCCTCACTGAGCAGGTGCCCCAGTGTTACTCTTCTGGTGCTGTGGCCAGGGAAGTGGGGGAGAGTCTTAGGATCACAAGCCTGAGATAAATTATGTGGGAACATGGAGGTCATGTTTGGGAGAGGGGTGGAGGCAAGAAATTTTTCTTCTACAGCAAGAAGTACTCTTCAAAAGTGCCAGATCTCACTCTCTCTTTCTCTGTCTCCCATACACCTCAGTGAGGAGTGGTTAAAAACAGTGTGATGAGCATGATGACCCAGGAAGGTGGCACCGATACCATAATTCCTGTATGTAAGGGAAGTGAGAGGATAGCCATGAGAGTCACCAAAACAGTCATGGTGATGGCGACAGGGCCACCGCAGTCAGCACTGGCATGCAGTCATGGTCCTGATGCAAGGCACATCTTTCTGTGCTGTTCATTTAGTTTATCTGACAAGCCACCACTCTTCATCACTGTTAGAGAGGTGAGGAAGTCAAAGCTTGAATTTTGCAGGGTCAGTTCCTTAAAGAAGGAACTGGAATCTGGTCTATTGGGGTTGCCTAAAGCTGTGCTTTTATACCAGTGCTAACTGGAGAAGAAATGCATGGAAAATTGCAAGGCGGCATTAGTAAGTGGATTTACATGAGCCAGGTGGCTTGTGTTGTCCTTCCTGTGGTGGTCACAGTGAGCATCAGGGGAAGCTCTAGTTGTCTAACTAAGCATGAAGTTACGGCTTTCTGAGTTCCATAGCTTTCCTAAGTTATTGAACAGATGGATCCGGCAGAAAGAGGTGACATTACATGGTTGTCAGGAGTGTTAATTTGGAAGTACCAAGTGTTCCATGTGTGGAAACTTGAGTAATGGAATGTTTAACAAGACTGAAAGTGAGGCTCAAATGAAATTGAGAAGTGACTGGGTGACTGGGTTGCACTAGGGGTGGCGGTGCTCAGGACAGAGACTGTGAAGGAGTCACAGAATGGGCACACAAAAGAAGTCAGCATGGGGACAGTGTGTGCAGAGGGAGGATGGAGAAGGCATAAGGGATCATTAGTCATGCTGTGCTCATTAGAGCATCTGCCCATGTTGTGACTGCAGGGTTAGAAGAATGAGAAAGATAAACCAGTGCCATTCCCTTCTGTCCAGAGCAGGTACTTTACCTATGCTGATGACTTTTAAATGTGCCCAGGGCCATGTGACCTTTCATGTTGAGGGTTTTAGGAAGAAGGCAGTGACCACTTTTGGCCTTAGAGTTGTAGAGCACGGTGGCCCAGGTGCAGGCTTCCTTCCTCATTCCCTTCTCTACAAAAATGTAAACCAGCTCCTCGAATGTGGTGAGGAAGGCATCCCTGTGTGGACTGATTAGCATGGGGATGTTACTATAATAAAAGGTGAATGGTGAGAGATGACTTGCTGGCAATGTTTAAGTACTACTAACACTAGAGTCAGTATGGAATGTTTTCCACAAATTTATTTAATCCTTACAAAAAGGACTCTAAGCAGCTACAGGGGGTGGCAGAGAAAAGGCAAGTACACATCAATGCCACTCTCTCGATCACATGTATACTTACAGAGCCCTGTAAACACTATGTGGCAAACACCTACTAAGCCCTGCACACCAGAAGCACATTTAACCTCCAAAAATTTCACTGAAAGTAAATTTTATGACATATCAGAAGCCAACGCCATTAAATGCCGCGCCAAAGTAAAGCTAAGTGGAAGACCATGGATGGAAGCTTTCTTAACTCCCAAAGCCATACTGTCTGACTGGAGAAAGGAGGAGGAAAGGCCAGCTATGAGTGGCAAGCTCTCAGATGATGAACCTCAGGAGAGCAGATGTGGAGAGATGGGCAGGGTACCAGACCTTTGCAATCCTTGCAAACAGGGTTAGAACATACATGCATAAACAAAGCCACTCTACCTCCTCCAGTGACAGAATTCTCTCCCTCCCCAGACATCCCATTTTTTAAAAAGAGGGCCTTCCTGTTGGGAAGACTCTCCTGACACTGAGAATGAAAATGCTGATGCTCGTAGAGCTACAGAAGCATCTAAGAGGCACAGGAAACAGAAGTGCATATGGGAAATTGACAGAGTAAACTTGAAAAATGCTTGCACTGTCATCCATCTTGGTTTCCCAAGCTGAGTGCATTTGAATTGCCCCCCAGCCAGTGCCTGCCCACGAGCCACAAAGATCCTAGGTTGCGCCCCCAGAAGTTAAGGTCTTCTAGGGACTTCAGTCCTTGGCTGCTCTTGGGCACTAGGGGGTCACTCTGACCAAATGCTTGGACTCTATTGTTCACTTCCTCTCAGCTGCCCCTGACTATTGGGTGGTAACCATTCCTCATGGGATTGTATTTGAACTTTTGAGTCTGGGGCGGGGAAAATGCTTTCTTACTGCTGGTCCCAAAGAATGATTTTATTCTTTGGGGCCTGGACAGTATGTGAGAGGTTGGAGTGGTGGCTCCAGACTCTAGTGTTTGTGGAAGCATTAGCTCTACATGTCCTGCAAGCCAGGAGCCCAGGCATTTTATTTAGCTTGATGTAACTGGATATGCATACATATACGTGTATATATATATATATATATATATATATATATGTATGTATATATATGTATACATATATATTGGTCTGATTTTAGGCATGGTTATCTCAGTTTAGCAAAATTGATTGTGACCCCTTGGGGGTGATGACAGGACTTCAGGAATAAGAGGAACAAGAGTACAGTGTCCCCACACAGTAGGGAGGCTTACAGTCTGTTTATTTTTCTCTTCCCTCCTTTTCAGTCTTCTTCCTTCCTGCCTTCCAGGACCCTTTGTGCCATGCACTGGGTGCTGGGCCCTTCTGGGATGTCATGACTGCGGTTTCAGTACATGAGGAAAGTACCTCATGAAACAGGCAACTCAGCATCCCCTAATCATTGTCACCTGCTCCCTGATTTCTTCCCACTGGAAATCTCCCCCCATTCATACTCTCCAAGAAAAGATGGTGCATTTTAGGGATGGTGCAAGTTTTTGTCTATTTCTCCAGAAAATAAGCTAACCAAGTGAAATGACATTCATCAACACAACCATTTGTACACCACAATGAACAGCTACCTAAAGAAAGTTGAGGTTGCTAATTGAGAGAATTTAATGGATCCGGATGTTAGTGCACTTGCTGACCATGGCCTTTACTCCCCAGGAGCTGAAACATCTCATCCTTGAAGCTGCTGATGGATTTCTGTTTGTGGTGGCAGCAGAGACAGGAAGAGTAATCTATGTGTCTGATTCGGTCACTCCTGTTCTGAACCAGCCACAGTCAGAGTGGTTTGGGAGCACCCTCTATGAACAGGTACACCCTGATGATGTGGAGAAGCTGAGAGAGCAGCTGTGCACTTCAGAAAACTCTATGACAGGTGAGTAAGTATAGCGTGTGTGTGTGTGTGTGTGTGTGTGTGTGTGTGTGTGTGGCCATTTGATCTTAAAAATTGTTCATCCTGTAAAACACATTAGGAAGCTAGAAGTCATAAAATGTCCTAATGGTGAAGTGATACATTTTATTTAGATTGTATAGGGGCTTCATTCACAATATCTTAAAATTTTTAGAGCCAGTTTCTCCTCCACTCCCTGGAATTGTTCCTGTAATTAGTGCATGTGGCCAGTAGGAGGTGGTCTTGCTGCATTAGTGAGACCCATATGTTTTCTGTATACCAATATGATGCCTACCACTTACACCCCAGGTCTTAGTTGCTTGAAAGACTTGTTGAAATAGTTAAGTAAGTCAGTTCTGCTGTAAAAAAAAAAAAAAAAAAAAAAAAAAAAAAAAAAAAACAGACACTATTTCAATATCACAAGACACAAACACATGCAATGAGATCTGTAGAATTCACTGGGGTAAGTGGGTTGGAAGTAAAACACTCCATAGACGATAAAAATAAAAGAAAGAACCTACTGAAAATGCCAGCATGCCAGCATGGGTGACAAATGGAAATTCGTAAATATTATTAAGCATGGTGATTGGCCAGGAAAATGGCTTTTGGTTGGGTAAGCAGGTCATAGGAGATGTTGTCACTTGTATGCTCTCATGAAATGCTTCTAGCTGTGTCCTCACAGAGTAGAAAGGACTGGCACAGCCACAAGGGTTCTGTCCTCCTGACATAATACTCCCATCACCTCAGGAATCAGCCTGTGAAGTCAAGTGCTCAGTTCATTTCATCCAGGTCATGGTGTCAGCAGGTTTGTGTCCCTTGAGACCTCTCCTTAGTTTCCAGGCCCTTCCCTCTGAATCTTCCATGATCTTTCTTTTGTATGCATTCCTGATACTTCCCCTACTCTTGAAGGACACCAACCAAGAAGCTGGCTTTACCTTAACTACCTCTTTAAACGCTCTACTCCTAAAGCAGTCATATTCTGAGATTTTGGGAGTCTTCAACCTGTGAACTTTTGAGGGAGTGTCTCAATTCTACCTGTAATAGAATCAAATCCAGTCTGATAGTGTTCCATCCTGGCAGAAGTTGTGCCCTTTCTGAGAGACAGCAGCCATTTCTTCATTGCTGCTGATCGGTGCATAGAGATCCAGGGTAGGGATGGGGTTTGTGTCTTAGCCATCTCTGCATGCCTGTAAAAGAACAATGCCAGCTCAGACTCAGAAAGACACCTTGCTCCCCCGTTGGGCTGAAGTCTTATAATGCAGAATGTAGAGTTCAACACTTGAGAACTGTGAGAGAGAAAATAAGCTAGCCAGGAAGTGTTGGTTTTAAAGCTGAAGTCACCTCCTCTGGAAAGAGCTGTGTTTTCCCCTAAATTTTCTGTATTTGGCCACAGGATGTGGCTTCTTCAAATCCTTGAGGAGACCTAGCTGGGGACGATGGCAGGGGAAGTGGTGGCGAAGGGCAGGGCAGGTTCAGGTCTAGGATGTTGCTAACTGACTCATCAGAGGCTTGTGTACATTTCTGTGTGAAATCTTCATGCATCTGGCTGAGTAGAAATGGCCTTGGGGGAGTGTGAACAGTAGTCACAGTAGACAGAGCTGGTACAGTGTAGGTAATCCCCCAAGATGCCAAAGGACTCTCAGGGAGTTGTGGACAGTCGGAGCTCTGAACTCTCTTTCTGGCCAGGGTTCTCTTGAAAAGAAGACGGAGTTGGAGATGTGGATCCTGATGCTTAGGATGTAGGGGCATAGGATTTCTTTTCCTTAGAGCCACGAACTGAAATGGACTCTTCCAGGTTGCACACAAGACTCTTGATCTAGGGAAGATAGCTTGAAAGAGCTCCTTGCAGCAGGGATGCTGCTGACTGGCATGGGGTTCGCTGGTACCTAGGGCAGGCTAGAGGTTGATTATTGAACATCCAAAGTGTACATTTAATGTGTCTCATTAGAAATTCTTCAGGGATACTTGATACCTTTGATTATTAAATAGGGTCTCAAATCCTTGTGTCCCTGAATGTCTGTGGTTTGAAGTCAAAAATAAGTAAACATGGCCACTTAGGGGAGTTAAGGCGACATGTGCAGGGTCGGGGAGCTGTGCAAGGCCTGCTGGAATAGAGGTGGCTTCCCTAGAACAGGCAAACCCCTCCACTAAGGGAGTCTCTGATCCTCTCTCCTAGAAAGAGGATGCTGCAGTCATTGGACCTGTAGCAGTATCTGTACTGAAGGTAGCCTGGGGGAGGGGATGTTCTGTGTGTGCTCAGTGGGAGAAGGGACAAAGAGGGGAGCCAGAGCAGGGTGTGCAGCCTGTCCTTCTGGCCAGGCGACCTAGGCAGTGATACCTAGAGGTGTGGTATCAAGGAGGGATGGTGGTAGAGCTCTTTGTTGAACTGAATCTCTCCATAGCTGGTCAGGTGTGACCAAGGGTGGTATGAAGATACTTGGAAGCACAGCAGTGGTGTGGACCATTGAGGTGGTTTGTTTTTCTGTGAATGAGTGCTGGACTCTAATGCCAGACAACAATGGTGCCCTCAGCCAGCAACAGCAATGCTGAACATAGATAGACACAGCCACGGAGAGGGAGCTGGGAGACTCATTTTCACTCTGGTCTTTTCTTGGTGATCTTGGGAGGTCCCTTTCTTCTTTGATCATTGTTCTTCTTATCATAGCACAGCAGATTCCTAAGGCTCCTTCCTGGTCTGATTTTATTCCTTCTTCTAAGGCTTCCAAATAGGATCTAATGCACTGGTTAGAAAACTGTAGAGGGAGAGGGGCTAAACTTGGAGCAGGCCAGCATTGTACTGAAGTGCTGTCACTACCAACCCAGAAGGTAGCAGTGGCCTTGTGGAGAAAATAGGGGTGTGTCCAATAACCTGTATCCAGGCACCAGTTATAGTGTTCATCAGCTGGCTGTATATGCTGAATGTCGATGCACTTTTAAATAGACCTACTCAAAAAACCAGGCCCTGGACTGACTGCTTGACAAAAACATGAATTGGAGCTTGCAGGAACCTAACCCTGAACTTCCCTTAGGAGCAATGTTTCAGTGTTTATTCATTTACTGCCCACAGTAGCTTTATGAATCATAATGTGAATTCATCCTTAGTCTCCCCCCCCCAGCTTTTCTTTGTTTCATGTGGGACTTTTAAAAGACACCACACATTTATATGCAGCTCTGTGCTTGGGACCTCTGTCTATGCAGTACCTAACATGCACAATGATTTCTGCCCAGGCCCCTGTGTGTGCTCAAGGCTTGCCTTTCTTAGCTCTTTGTTTAGATCCCTCTGCTCTCTCCTGCCCTGACCCATCCTGAGGGCTAAGGAACCTCAGAGCCAGGCTTGGAGGCTAGCCTCTCCATCCACTTGAACTCATGAGTTGAACTGACTCTTTAGAGGAAGGGGCAACGCTGAGCAATGAGTGGTGTTTAAGGTGATCCGCGTGGGGGACGGAGTGCATTGTGGGGAAGGGGACTGCAGAAATAACCACTTCTGATCTCCCAGTGATCTGAGTAGTCACTCTCAGTGGGGATGAGGGTGGGAGGGTGTGGAAAGGCCCAGGGCATTCCAGGTGACGACAGGCATTTCACTGTAACTGGATATGCCCAAGCACTGGGGTCAGAAAGCAAGCAGGGGGCAACAGAGACACCCTGGAGACATGGAGGGGCCAGTCCTCTCAGGGTCTTCTGGTGGTTGAACTCTGGAAAACTTTGATCCCGGTGAGCTGAGACAGACAGTGCATTGCCAGTGGTCCTGGCACCTGACTGGGAAGAATGGCTTCGATTCTCCAGCCAGAAAGACGGTGTGGGAGAGGTTAATCTGTGGCCATTTCAAGAGGAAGTTCATTTGGACCCCCCTGCATTGCCCTGGTGTGCTTAAGGGTCTGCGTCGTTCTCCTGCATTTAGGTAACTAGGTCAGCATTTTGGGTCAGTATAGGGAATAACTTTGAAAATGACTGCCCAGTAGTAGAAGTGGGTACGAAGAGTAAACTATCTTCCTCCTTCCTTCTTCCCTCCCTCTCTTCTTTTTTCAATGACCATGTTATTAACTAATTCATGAACACCTATCTTACACAGCTGAGGACAGGTCACATGTGAAGCCTTCTCTCCAGCTCCTCACCTGTAGACACTCGAAGAAGCTTCTGTTTATGAATAATAATCCACATTTCCCAACTGTTGCGGCCTGGATTCTTTGTGATAATTTGGGGAGAACCCAAGCTGGGTTGGTCCCCAAGGTTTCAGCTGGAAAGCCCCGGTGCATGAGTCACCCCCCCCCCAATCAGCTGTGATTAAGCTTTCCTATCTCCCTTTGAGCTTTGCTAAAGTCCAAGGATGCTTTGAATCTTGGGTCACAATATTTGGCCAGGTTCCGGTCTGGGCACAGATAGCTGCTTTGAGAGTCTGCCTCCAGGGAGCCATATTCAGCCAGCTGTGCTCACAGCCTCTCATCAGGCATTTTCCATGAGAGCTTCAAGATGCCATATACACTCAAGAGTCCTCCTGCCTGTCTGGGAGAGAGAAGACTTGTGGGACTCTGGATGCTTGTGACTTTCATTTTCTCACTCAACCCTAACAGTGAAATATTAATACCTGTAATTAATCCACTTACATTTCTATGACATTCTTTACCCTCTGTAGAGAATAATCACACACACTAGCTTCAGTCACTTACAGAGAATTGGCCGGTATACTCGCCCTGGGTTTGCCAAGGGGGCCTGAACCAGGTAATGACTCTGAGGTACCCAGGGGAGATGAGAGGCTTAGATTTTCTGGCCTCCTCTGCCGAGTTGCAGTTCTGAGCATAGAGATAGATGCCAGTATCCTCGCGCAGCATCAGCAATCACACCAGTATAGCAGCTCATCCTGGGCCAGTCATAGTAGCACTGAAGGCTCAGGGCCACATGAGAGGTGCATAGTGTCAGCACTGTGGGACTAAAACAGTCAGGGTGTTCCATCACCTTGTTCGCAGTGGTTCTCTATCAGCTCTGTGAAC